CTCTAGTTAAAAGTAGCAACAACTGATCTCTTCAGATGAACGTTTGAACTTTATCTGGAGGATTTCAGGGTAAACTTTTAAATTGTCACAAGTTCACCTGTTGGTTGTTTAAGATGCTCTAAAACTGAACGTTTAAGCAAATTAAAATCCAAACACCTTCCTGACGTGGGTCTTTTCGCAGGTGGAGCTTTTTACACCCCAGAGACGATAGACACAGCGCGGCTCCACTACCGCAACTCCTGGGCCCCGGTCCTGCACGCCGTGGCCCTCTGGCTGAGCAGCACCGGGTTTGGAGCAGGCGAAGATCAAGAGGACGTCTCTTCGGCTCCCTCCAAGTCTCCTGAAGGCTCCTCCAAAACGAGGACTTTCGAGGAGTCGGTCAACGACCGGATGCATCTTTTGTTGGGTAACGCTGCTTTGTGTTTGTTTTACCGTCGTGCAGTGAGGGAGTAGACACACCCTGAGTGTGCTTTGGTGTTCTGTCTGTCAGGTGTCAGTATCGAGTTCCTCTGCTTCCCCCGACCCGAGGAGCCCATCGAACACGTGATGTCCTGCCTGCAGGCGCTGTCCACGCTGCTGGAATCTCCGTGGGCTAAAAAACACATCGCAGAAGACCAGGTAACGTAGTCCTGTCTGTGGAGGAAGGTTTGCACCGAGAATCGTTCGAGATGTTGTAGTTCGCTGTGGGATTGTCTTTGTTAGAATATAGAAGTCAATAAATCTTCACTTTAATTTTCATCTCTAAAACGCGCTTGTTGAAGAAAAGGATGCTTCATACGCATCAAGAAAGTAGTAATCAACGCAGGAGTGAGTAGCTTCTCCCTTTTTTTGTTGTTATTGCAAAACTATTTTAATAAAACAGTCAATTTATTTACAGCTTGCCGCACGTTGTATCGATCTAGTACATGAACGGTTTAAAATAAATCATCTTCTGATTTTTATTTGCCTCCGATGATTCGGATGTTTCAGGATCCTAGAAATCCATGATGTGTCCAAGATGTGTTAAAGGATCTGAACATTTCAGCTGATATTTAAAAAAAAAAAAAAAAAAAGCGTGGATATAAACACATCCTGAACTTTGTTCTCTTTCAATTTTGAAAAGTAAAAAATAAAAACTTTAATTTTTGTTTTCTTGCAATCTGAAAGTTTTCTGAATATTTAGCCTAGCATATCTTTAAGAAATTCATATTTTCTTCCGCCTTGCATTAAAACTTTTTTAAAAAGGGTTATA